ACGGTCTCACTACATAGTTGAGACTGACCTGGAACTCACTATGTAGCCCAGGCTGGTCTTAAACTCACAGTGATCCTCCTGCCTCAGCCTCCCGAGTGCTGGGATTACAGGTGTGTGCCACCACGCCCGGCTTGTTCTACATTTTTTGATTAGCTGGAGAATAGTAATACACCAACGAAGTTTCTACCACGGCTTGTTTAGGATGTGTAACATTCAGACGTCAGGCAGCTATTTTTGCAACACTCTGGATTGTGGGAAATGTAAGTCTATCTTAAGAAGTAGGAGCTGGGCATAGTTGTGCACCCATGTCTAAATAAAAAGGACCAGAACCAGGTATTTAAGTCAGTGGTGCTGCTGCCTGCCTTGCAAGCAGGAAGTCCTGAGTTTGATCGCCGGTACCTAAATAAATAAATAGGACTGGTGATGTAGCTAAGTGGTAGAATACCTCTAGGTTCAGTGCATACGCACAAACAGGAATCCTTTTTCTAGAAGGAATGGTTGATTTTTAAAATGCAATTTAAAATCATAACCACAAACAACCTTTTTCTCCAAAAAAGCTATCAAAGTATACCATAATAGCTAAAAATAGCAGAAACATAATTTCTATTAACATTCTTTTGAGACTGACATTTGTACTTATCAGTCTCTTGTAAGAAATAAAAGAACGAGAAGTAAACTTAAACTAAGAAATTGCCAAGCTGAGCACGGTGACGCAGGCTTGTAATCTAGCAGTCTAGGTGACTGATGCAGGAGGATTGCAAGTTCAGGCCCAGCATGGGGACTTAGTGACTTAGGAAGACTCTGTTTTAAAATAAAAAGGGCTGAGGCTGTTGCTGAGTGTGGAGACCCTCAGTTCACATAGTGGTGAAGGTGAGGGAAAAATCTTCAGTTGGATCTGTTTAAGGAAGAAGATAAAGACCAGAAAAGGATTATACTGGGTGCAAAGAGAAAGGAGTTTGGAGAGGGGTAGGATTTGAATCGGGTTGGAAGTAGTAGATAGCAATTTATGTGGATAGTGTGTCCTGGAGCCTCTTTCAGCAGTTCTTCCATTTGTGGGAGCTGAAAGGGCAAACGAGGTGGGAGGAGAACGTAATGAATACTGAGTTTAGTAGTCAACCCTGTGTCAGAGAGATCGGACCAGTTGATGACCTAGCCAGGTGCTTACTCTGTTTCCCAATCTTCTTGGTGTCTCTGAAACATGGGAGCAGTTGAAATATTCTTGGTTTAATCCAGTTTGTAAAGAAGAGTTATTCAGAGCAAACTAGCTTTGGAATGTCAGAGTTTAATAAAAGTCTGGTTTATTTGTGTGTGTGTGTGTGTATGTGTGTGTGTGTGTGTGTGGCACTTCACTGTATATCTTACCTGTGCTTACCACTGAGAGCCAGCCCCAGACAACAGACATTTTAATTTTAGGTGGCCTTTTGATGACAACTTGGGGTTACTATAGTAAAGCCCCTCATTTTAACAGTCAAGTTCATGCTTAAATTCAGCTTTTCAATGTTTGAGATATGATCAAGTTGTCCATCTTGGAGATGTTTTTCTTAAAGTATTTGTTCGTGTGAGGAGAGCAAATTTGCTATTTAACAACTGCATTTTGGTTGTACAGTGGTTCCTTAGGGCTTAGTTTGTTTTTCAGACACCAGGGATCCAACTCAGGACCTTGCGCTTGCCAGGCAGGTGAGGTGCTGTTGAGCTACATCCCTGGCTCTTAAGTCCTAGTTCTGATAGTTTGTCATGGTGTTTTTGTTTTGTTTGTTTTGATACAGGGTCTCACCTTGTAGTTCAGGCTGGCCTTGAACTCACTATGTAGTTCAGGCTGGCCTCCAACTAACTCTAAATCCTCCTGTGTCAGTCCACAAGTGCTGAGATTAAAGGTGTGCGCCATCACACCTAGTTTATGTTTGTTTTATTGAGTAAAATATTCTGGCTACAGGTTAACTTTTTGCTTGATGTTTACTGTTTTTGCTGTAGAGAAGCACTGCAGAAGAGGTTGTTACAGCTAGCTGAGAACTAAGACTGGGGTTGGTTTGTTATAGTGAGGTAATTTGGGTAGTGTCCGAAATGAAGCTCGGTTGTCTCAGGTCAAGTACATTTCTTTCATTGTTGAAAGACAAAGATCCTGATTATCACATGGTCCCTAAATCACAGCTTTTGGCTCATCTGTCACATTTCTGTACCAACTTGCACTGACATACACTAATTCTGATATTGTTGCCTTGGTTAAACAAAGACAAGATTTGCAAGATACCATTTAGAATATGTACTTTAAAATGGCATGTGTTTTTGTTATGCTATTTCACTTTCTGTTACTAATGAAAAAGAACATTTAATTTTTTGTTTGTTGGTTGGTTTGTTTGGTTTTTTTGGGATAGGGTCTCACTATGTAATTGAGACTGACCTGGAACTCACTATGTAGCCCAGGCTGGTCTCACAGTGATCCTCCTGCCTCATCCTCCCAAGAGTGCTGGGATTACAGGCGTGCGCCACCATGCCCAGCAAGAACATTTACTTTTGTGCTTAAGAAAGTCCTAATAAATAAGGTTTGTTAAATTTATTTTTGTTTTTGTTTTTGGTACCGGGGATTGAACTCGGATCCTTGTGCTTACAAGGCAGGCCACCGAACCACTGAGCTAAATCCCTGGCCCAGGTTTGTTAAATTTAAATAAATTTAATTTTATTTGAGCAAAATAACCTGTATAGCTGAGTCTGAATGTAGAAATAAGACTTTTGCTTAGAGGCAGGAAGATTCTGAGTGGAGGTCTGCTAGGGCAATTTAGCAAGACCATATCTCAAAATAAAATAGAAAGGGCGGGGGAATGTAGTTTGGTGTGTCACCTACCCCCAACCCCGTACACCTTGTTCAAGTCCCAGTACCACCCTCCCTCTAAAAAACCCAGATATTTCAATACTTGGTCTAGTGTTCTTTTCAACCATTTGGCTCCAATTAAGCAATCAAAATAACTGCTCACTGTTTTTGGTACAAGTTTGCATTAATTGCCTTGGAACAGTTAAAAAATATAGGAACAAATAAGGAATGTTATAAAATATAAAAGTCTTGGGGAAAATATTTTATTAGCTGCCTTGTCTTTTTTTCAGTTTGGATTCATTGTTCTAGAAATTTGAATAAACAGTGCCAGTAAAGCTTAATAAGGAAAATTGGTCATTTTCCCATTTTTGTATTTAAAGGTTTTTGAATACATTAAGGTTTCACAGGTCATTTACTAGATAAAGGAAGCTTTTTTTTTTTGGCACTTCACTGTATATCTTACCTATCTTAGATCACTCAGAACCGAGAAGTAGTTGATGGTTTTTATTTCAACACACATTCCAGATCAAATCAGTAGTACCTGAAAGTTTCCAGCGTTGTCAGTAGTTTGGAATTTGAGGAGGGAGGGGCTTATGTGAGGTAAGGCAGTTTTGTTGAATTCCTAAATGCAGGGATGTCCTCATTTGATTTGTGGCCTTTTATCACACTCTGTGTTGTGGGCATGGCCCTTAGCCTAATCAGACATTGGTATAATTACTTTGTTTTCTTATGCCTTCAGCCCAGCCTTTCAAACATTGAAGTGATTTTCAGAAGTATATACTGTCTTTCCTTTGCTAATCTGATTTTGTTACTATTTGGGGAATAATCTCTTGTCCTTATTCTCTCTCTCTTCTGATTAGTTTAAATCTCTTAGATGGGAAGATTTAAAATGTGGCTAGTGGCTCACACCTTAATCCTAGCACCATGAGAGCTGAGGCAGAGGACCAGAATTGGAGCCTCGCCTTGGGTCAGTGCAGTGCTCCTGCTAGGCCCACATCCCAGAGCCATAAAAAAGAAAATAAATATGAAGGTTTAGCTACTTATCCCATCCAAACAAGACATGGCATGTTAGATTAATAAAAGATGTATGGCTTTTCCTTTCTCCCATGTTGTATATGATAGTATTTGTGCTCTGTGTGCTAATTATACCCTAGCAGGCTTGGTGGTACATGCCTGTAATACTTGCATTCTGGGAGGCTGAGGCAGGAGGATTGCAAATTCAATCCATTCTGGGCAATTTAGTGATTTAGTGAGATCCTGTCTCAGAATAAAAATTTTAAAAGTACTGGGGATATAGCTAAAAGAAAAAAACCCTCAAAACCAAAAACACTTAGGCAGCAAAGTACACTACCAAAAAGTAAGAAAACAGCTCACAGAATGAAAGCAAATATTTGTAAATCATATATCTGATAAGGGATTAATATCTAGAATATTATATAAAGAACTGTTACAAGTCGAAAGATAAATAACCTAAGTTAAGATGGGATTAAAGGATTTTAGTAGACTTTTCTCCAAAGAAGTTTCACAAAAGGCCACTAAACACGTGAAAAGATGCTCAGAGTCAGTAGTCATTAGCAGAGAAGACCACCGTGAGATCCCATATTACATCCCGTAGGAACAAAAAGGATGGATAATAAAAAATGTTGGTCAGAGCGTGGAGAAGCTGGAATCTTCATACATGGGTGGTGTAACTATGAAATGGGGCAGCTGCTTTGGAAGATAGTTTGGCAGTTCCTCAGAAAGTTAAACATAGAGTTACCATGACCTAGCAAATTCAATCCCAGAAATGAATCTACTAGGAGAGTTAAAACATGTCTGTGCCAGAAACTTGTACGCAGATGTTCTTAGCAGTGTTATTCATAATAGTCCCCAAATGGAAACAACCTGAATGTCTGTTAGTAAACAAAAGGTGATGTATCAGATGGAATGCCGTTCACCTTTAAAAAAGAATAAATTAATCTGGGTGTGGTGGTGCTTGCCTATGTGAGGCTGAGGCCTGATGGTCACCATGAGGAGTTTGAGGCTAGTCTGAGCTACAGAGTGAGTTCAAGGCCAGCCTGAACTGTATAGCCAGACCCTGTCTCAAAAAGATGACAGAAAATAAGTAAATAAATAAAATAAACTACATCAGTGAAACGTGGAAATATTTCAAGTGACTGAAGCCATGTGTGGCCATATATTGATTCCATTTATTTCAAATGTTCAGAATAGGCAATACAGGCCTGGGATTTAGCTCAGTGGTTCTGCCGCCTGCTTCATAAGCACAAGGACCCGAGTTTGATCCCCGGTACCAAAAAAAAAAAGAATAGGCAATGCATAGAGAACAGACAGTAGGGAGGCAGAGGTGGGGAGTGACTGGTGATGGGTACCAGTTTCTTTCAGGGGGCAGTGAGAATGCTCTGGATTCAGGTAATGGTGATGGTTTCCCAACCTTGTGAGCATATTGATAAGCACTGCATTGTAAACTTGGGGGTGAACATTATGGTGTGTAAATTATATCTCAAGTTGAAATGAGGAAGAATAAGAAGTACTCCTACAGTGTAGAAAGAAGACAACCCAATTTAAAAAATGGGCAAAAGATATCAAGTGACATTTCATAATCATAAGCATTAGCAATTAACATTTGGGGGCTGTGTGTCCAGTCTTAATTAAGCACTGTATGTAAATTTAGTTTATGTAATCAGGTGCGTATTGGACTCGGCATCTCTCTCTCCTCCACACTGTGCTACAGTCTGCTCACATCACTCCTGCAGGCGCTTGTGTGGACACTTTGTCACCCGGGGCTCACTAACCATCTGCACCATGCCTGTTGCTGCCCTTTCCAGATCCATTAATGAGATGAAAAAGTTGGAGGAAGTATCAAGTATATTTCAGAACTCTGGAGTTGAGTGCCATCCTCCAGAACCAAAATCCCAAACAGGAGGGAATGAAGACTCGAAGGACAAAGAACAGCCATGGGAGATGGTGATGGACAAGAAGCATTTCAAGCTGTGGCGGCGCCCCATCGTGGGCACCCACCTATACCAGTACCGAGGTGAGCAGGCTGGCTGGCCCCTGCATTCCGGGCCACTCCTTGGACTTCTGTCAGCTCTCCATTTGGGTGGTTTCCTGGAAAGTCTGCCATGGTTTTTGTTTTGTTTTGTTTTGTTTTTTTGAGACAGGGTCTCACTATGTAGTTGAGACTGATCCAGAACTCACTATGTAGCCCAGGCTGGTCTCAAACTCACAGTGATCCTCCTGCCTCAGCTTCCTGAGTGCTGGGATTACAGGTGTGCACCACCATGCCCGGTTGCCATGTTTATTTCATTGTTGTTGTGTTCCTGTCACGGATGACCAGCTTCTCAGTGTCTTCCTCACTGTAGGTCATCTTTTTCTTTGCCTGTCTGGCTTCTTCACCTGTTCTTGTGACCTGCCAGTGTAGAACTGAGAGCAGCTAGGCTGTGGGGACGGGATAAGGCATGGCAGTGTGGCACATGTCTCTTATTCTTTCTTGTCCTTCCAGTTTTTGGAACCTACACAGATGTGACACCTCGGCAGTTCTTCAATGTTCAGGTGAGTTAGTTTGATTTGAGGTTTTCCAGCAAGCCAGTTACCACTGTGCACACAGCCCCAGTGACACTGGCTTTCACATATCTGTGTTGTACTTCTCATCCCACATCACATAGCATTTAGGTAAACGTGTGTGTGTGTGTGTGTGGTATAGTGGTATGTGAATGCTAGGATTGAACTTAATAGACATTATGATTTCTTTATCTGTCCCACGAGGATGAGACTGATTCTGTCCACCCCTATTATAAACCCCCAACTGTTGAGAAGAGAGAATGGATTTTTTGTTTTTTGTTTTTGTTTTTTGAAGCCATTTTTTTTTTTTTCCTGGTACTGGGATTGAACTCGGGTCCTTACACTTTCAAGGTAGGCAGCGGAACCGCTGAGCTAAATCCCCAGACTTTTTTTTGATTTTTTGAGACAGGGTCTCACTGTGTATTTGAGACTGAACTAGAACTCACTGTGTAGCCCAGGCTGGTCTTGAACTCAGAGAGATACTCCTGCCTCAGCCTCCTGAGTGCTGGGATTACAGGAGTGCACCACCAGGCCCAGCTAGAATGGATTTGAAGGCTTTAATGTTTTTTATAAGATTTTTTTTTTCCTGTACAATTTGAAGGTAAGGTATGTGTATCGTGGTCCTTTATTCCTAAGTCTGTCATTATATATTTGCTAAAACTATGTATGCTTTCTTCCTTGTGTCATTGTGGTACCATTTTTTTTTTTTTTTTTTTTTTTGTACCGGGCATAGAACTTGGGCCCTTGTGCTTGTGAGGCAGGTGGTAGAACCACTGAGCGAAATCCCTGGCCCCTTTGGTACCATTATTAAAGTTAATAAATTAACATTGATACAGTGCTTCAGTGCAATCTTGTTTGTGTTCTAGTTTTACCAGTTGACCTTCATAGCATCAAATCCAGACTGGGTTACATTTAGTTATATCTCTCTAACCTCTTTTTAATCTAGAACATTTCCCTGTGAAGGTATTTATTGAATAAGGATGAAGAATATCTGTTCAAGGACTGTTTTCCTCCTTGGGGTTATATATATGTTTAAAACAAAGTGAGAAGGGGAGGTGGGTCCACCCAGAAATTTTCATTTCTGGTATTTCTTTTGCCAGACTTTCAGTAATTGGTCTGTTGATTATAACACTATTAGTCACATGCAAATGTACCTTCACCTAAGCACTGAATTGTATCAGTTTGTATTGTATTTTTGTTGGTTGGGTTGTATAGATATGTCTGTCTTTGAAATTCCTCAGTTAGTGGTATCAAATTTACAGTACGCTGCTTGCATTTCTTTGTGTGAGGTTTCTGCTTATATTTTGGCATTTGTTTTGTCTGTTTAAGACTGTTTAGTGAATTCATAACACTATATGTTTGTTGTCTTCCTCAGATATGTCTATTACAGTATTTTTGTATTTTTCCTTGGTTTGCTTTTTTTTTGAGAAAAGGTCTTGTTATATAGTTTAGGCTGGCCTTGAACTCACTCTGTTGTAGCTCATGCTGGCCTTGGAACTGTGGCAATCCTCCTGCCTCAGTCTCCTGAGTGCTGAGTTTATAGGCGTGCGCCACCACCCAGCTGCCTTTTGCTTTTTCATACTCGGTTTCAGTGAATGGAAGAATTTAAAGAGTTGGCTGGAGTAAACACAGTCATGCCACTCATGCTTGGTCAGTGTTGGGTCCAATTACTGTTTCCCATAAGAAGGTCCTGGGATCAGAAGTCCAAGTGTCTGGAGAAGCTTTCTGCATTTGTGTTTTGGGTCTTGATGGTTGTCTCTTCCACAGCTGGACACTGAGTATAGAAAGAAGTGGGATGCCCTGGTGATCAAGCTGGAGGTGATTGAGAGGGATGCAGTTAGTGGTTCTGAAGTTCTTCACTGGGTGACCCACTTTCCTGTGAGTACTTTTACTTCTGGTTTTGCTTCTTTTGAGACCATGGATGCAGAAAACTAATCCTCACCTTCATTTCTACAGTATCCAATGTACTCTCGGGATTATGTTTATGTGCGGCGGTATAGCGTGGATCAAGAAAACAATGTGATGGTGTTGGTGTCACGGTAGGTGTGGCTACTGCGTCCCTTACCCAGTTCCTTTGCCTGTGCCTTTCACTTTCACTTTCCTTTGCCTGTGAGCTTGTGTGTTCTCCACAGCTTCCTGCAGGCTTCCTAGCACCTGGGTCCCCATCCGGGAAGATGGAAGGCATACAGTTTTTTTTTAATCTCCTTTCAGTATTCTGTATCGGACCCCTGGCCTTCAAACTGAGCTGCACTACCACCCTTTTTGTCACTACTATTTTGTTTTGCTTTTTTTTTTGGTACTGGGAATTGAACTCGGGTCCTTGCGCTTGCAAGGCAGGCCACCGAACCGCTGAGCTAAATCCCCGGCCCGTCACTACTGTTTTGATTTAGAGATGGTCTTGCTGAGTTGCCCAGGCTGGCCTCAAACTTGTGATACTCCTGCCTCAGTCTCCCAAAATGCTCAGACACATAAGCTTTTTTTTTTTGGTACCGGGGATTGAACTTGGGTCCTTGCTCTTGTGAGGCAGGTGGCAGGCTCACTGATCTAAATCCCTGGCCCTCTCCTGATTTTTATATAGATTTTACTGAGCTTTGGCTTCATCTTTCCTCCCTACCAGGGCTGTCGATCACCCTAGCGTGCCAGAGTCCCCGGACTTTGTCAGGGTCAGATCATATGAATCCCAAATGGTCATCCGTCCCCACAAGTCATTCGATGAGGTGAGTTTGCTTTGTCCATAAGATAATGAATCATGGTTGTGGCATTTTCTTAAGGAATGCAACCTAGTTGTGAAGGAGGATGGAGCTTGTTGCTATATAGTGCTGGCCCTGGCCTCCCTGAGGTCTGGCTCAGCTGGTCTGGGCTGTGGCTTGACAGCTTCCACTTTTAGAACTGTGCAGATGAGGCTCAGGCTGCTGCTCTGGAACATGTGGTTGGGCCCCTCTAAGCTGGGAGACTGGCAAGGGCATGTAGTGATGAGCCCTTGCTCCTTTTGTCTGACAGGCAGGAGGAGGTCATAGCCACTGCCTGCTTAGCCTCCATCTCACTGCCTTTTGCAGGAGCTGGAGTACCTTCCACTCGCGTTTCACCACAGTGGGCAAAGCACTGGAAACCTGGACTTCTTCCTTGTCTATAAAATGAGTTAGACTCATGCGCTCTCCCTTTAAAATTCTGACTTTCTGCTGGGAATTTAGCTCAGTGGTTCTGGTACCGGTTTTGCAAGTGCAGGGACCTGAGTTCGATCCCTGGTACCAAAAAAAAAAATTCTGACTTTCCTTAGGAAGGAATACTTGTTTCAGCTTAGTGGAATATTTATGTTCATAACCAACTCTCTGTTGAGCATATGTATGGATGCCAGTGGCTGCCAGTTTGTAATGGTTCTATTTTACTTTGTTTCTCCCCATTGTTTTTGTTTGTTTTAAAGCTATGTGGATTGTGATTTTTTCTCATTCTCAAGTTGTTTTATCCACCTGAAGTAATATTGTGGCAGAGTATGGTTGACCTCAGACAACATGTTTGACTTTTTTAAAATACTGGATGATCTTTGTGTTTACTTGAGTGCTATTTTTAGAACAGTATTTTTCAAGTCACATTGCTGTTTGTTAGAGGGAGACAATTTATGTAGGGCGTTATGATCAGTTTTTAAAAGGATACATGGCATAGGAACTGACTGTAATCAGACTTAGGAGACTGGTTACATAAATATATATGAATGTATATGAGAGGTGGAGGGGATGAATTAGATTGCAAGGATTATTTAGAGTGGGGAGTGGTTGAAAATGTTTGAAAACCCCTTGCTTTAAAGATACAAAAGAAGTAAGGCTGCTTTTGAAGACTAGTTACTTTTTTGTTTTTGAAGACTAGTTACTTTTAAGGGTAGACTATGTCAGGCGGGGAACAGTGTATCTAGTCAGTACTTAAATTTGCCTGGCTGAGTTTTTTGTCATTGTTTAGTTGAATCAGGATCTGAATGAGATGCAGACACTGAAATTTGTTCATGCAGTCTTCGTCTTTTTTTTTTTTCCTTGGCGGGTGGGGATAGGGTCTTGCTCTGTACTTCAGGCTGTCCTTGAGCTCACTACATAGCCTGGGCTGGCCTCAAACTTGGAGCAATCCTCCTGCCTCAGCCTCCTGAGTGCCTGAATTACAGACGCGTGGGCCACCACACCCAGCTCATGCAGTCTTTGAATATCTTTGCATTTGTGTTTGTTGAAGAAGCCTAGCTTGTTTGTCCTGTAACTTGCCTGTTGTGTCCTCCCAACCCGAAGTGCCTCTTAACCTCATCTTCTGTCCCATCTCCTTGGATGTTGGTAGGTAGGTTGGAGATTAGAAAAAGTTTGGTTGGTTGGTTTAGACAAGGTCACTTCATTCTGAGGCAGATAATGTCTGGTTGGCTGTTTGTGAATTTAGAAGCTATTGATGACATTGGTTATTTCATTAGGAATTACAAAATTGATTTTGTAATCTCCTGTCTGTAGCAAGTCTGGACCTACAAATGAGTTCCAGTCCCAGAGAACATTTGTAAGTCTGACAAGTGAGTCTTACCTTTGGCACATATACACAATGTGAAGTATAAAACCAAACACACATAACAAAAATACAGTAAGTCCCATCTGTGTTATATTACTGTATACCATCGCACTGTACAGTAAGCACACAGCAGCACAACTGTGACACTGTCCAGCAGACACGTGAGCTACTTCTGTGAATGTTGTAATATTAGGTGAAATGTGTTAGAGAAAATGTTCCACATTGGCTAGTCAGTCAACTAGTTCATATGGGAAAGAGAAATAAGAGTAAAGCTTGACTTGTTGCCTTATTTACTAGCTTTCAAATAAAACGAGTTGGTTCATTCAATTTGGTATTCTCAAAGATAAGTTTTGTTTTGGAAGTATCCTTGGAAACTCAGATTTCAACATACTGGATTAGTTAGTTTTGAAACTTAACAGTTATTCTTTTTTTTTTTGAAACAGGGTCTCACTCTGTAGCTGAGACTGACCTGGAACTCACTGTGTAGCCCAGGCTGGTCTAGAACTCACAGAGATTCTCCCACCTCAGCCTCCCAAGTGCTGGGATTACAGTTGTGCACCACCACACCTGTCCTTGACAGTTATTCTTGATTACTGTCATATTGATCCCATATTTGGCTACTGGGGGTTTTTGTTAGCTCAAGTCTTCCTGACAGGGCCCTAGAAGCTTTCTTGCTTTTTGGTGTTAGAAGGTGTTTCACTATCATCTTGCATAGTTGTAGCTCTAAACCTGGAACTTAGCTTTTCCTCAAGGAGTCCTGATTCCTTTAAGTGGGAAGTGGTGGTTAAGTACCACAGTTTGCTGCTAGGGTTATTATAGCTATTAATTAGATTATTCTTTTTTAGAAGATAAAACTAACAAGTTTGATATATTTACTTTTTTTTTTTTGCAGTATTGGGGATTTCACCCAGGGCCTCATTTATGCTAAGCACTCTGCCAGTGAACCATATCCACAGCTCCTTTTTATTTTCTTTTGGTTTCTTTTTTTGTTTTGTTTTTTGAGACAGGGTCTCACTGTGTAGTTGAGACCGACCTGGAACTCACTATGTAGCCCAGGCTGGTCTAGAACTCACTGTGATCCTCCTGCTTCAGCCTCCTGTGTGCTGGGATTACAGGTGTGTGCCACCACGCCCGGCTGGTTTCCTTTTTTATTTTTAATAGGCACATAGTAATAGTAATTATACATACTTACGGTATGCAATGTAACTTCAGCACATGTGTAAATGTGTAATGCTCATATCAGTAATTGGCACATCTGTCCCCTCATTTTTCTGTATTGGGAATGTTGCAAATCTTCTGTATTAGCTATTTTAAAATATACAATTGTTGTCAACTATGCTACAACTTTGGAAATTACTCTTTCCATTCACACCTGTTAACCAACTCCCATAGGTTCTTCCCCCCCCCCAATACCAGGAATTGACCTCAGGATCTTGTGCTTGCCAGGTAGGCATCCCGGCCCTCCCATAGGTTCTTGATTTTCCATTTACTTTGGGTTCTTAGGTATTGCTTTTTAAATTTTATTATTTTAATTGTGGAAAATAGTTTGCAAAATTAAATCTATAAATGACTATTCAGAGTAATTTACAGTATATTAGTTCCTGTTTCTTTTACCCAGTCCTTCCTTCTTCCTACAATAACCATTGTTTTCATTTTTGGCTTCTTTTTTTGTAGAGAAGCAATGGCAGATAAGAATCCAGGTCAAGTGTTTTGGAGTAGAATAGTTTGGTCTTTTACTCTTACATCTACTCATTTCTTCTAAACCACCTTTGGGGTGGCACAGTTACTTTTCCTGTTTCACAGGTTTTCCTCCCCTCCTTTGCATGGATTCAGTGCAGCTGTGTCTGGCATACCGTTCATCCTAGTAGTCAGGAGCTCCTGGGCAGGGACCCGAGTACACTTGTTTTCTCTAAGCACCCAGCATGGTGCTGGACACAGTGGACAATCAAGTATGTGTTAAAGGATAAAGGATTCAACAGTACAATTTGTAGGGGGGAAAAAAACATGGACTTTGCTGTAAAAGCCGGGACTTAAAGCTGAAGCTCTGTCACCCTTAGTTGTGTCCAGTCTCTTGTAAAAATATGTGTGTGTAAAGTGGGTCCCTCTCATTCCTTTGGGTGAACACAGTGCTTTAGACGTCTGTTAGAGTCAGGACACCCTGACTGTCCTTAAATTTTGTGTCTTTGCGGTTGTTAGCAGAAGGCCGAGCCCAAGAGACCATAGATTCATGGGCCCAGTGGCCACGGTTCTCAGAGCTCTCGCTTAGTATGTGGGTTACAGGCAGAGTTACTTAGCCTCTTTGTGTTTAGTTTCTTTATCTGTAAAATGGGGGATTATTGTGCCTACAGCATAATAGGATTGTGAGGAATCAAAGGCATTCTTATTCTTGGCACATAGTGTTATAAATGTTTATTGTTACTATTCTTACAAAGGGAGGAAGTAGGGCCAGGAATTCAGCTCAGTGGCATTGCACCTGCCTGGGAAGTGCAAGGGCCTGAGTTCAATCCCTAGTATCTAAAAACCAAACCAAAACCAAAAAAACAAAGGGAGGAAGTGGTAAAGAATCGGGTCTTTCAGCATAAGCATTGGCACTGTGTGTTGTGGGTCCCCTTACAGATCTCCAGGAAGGACTCACAGGACTCTGCACGTGTTTTATGACTGTGGTGTGGTCATCGCATAGCTGGGCTAGCCTGGAGGACGTGGAGGAGCCCATGTGGGCCTTCCTCCCATATCATCGAGATGCATGTATAACGCCTCTGACAGGAAAGCCTGGTGGACTCCACCTGTGGGAGATGATCATGTTACATCCTCTCCTGAGCATGTGCTAACTTTCTAGGACCCCATGGGGAAAGCCTACGGTGAGCAGCAGCCCCCTGCCAGTTAGCTGTTGCCTGGGACCACAGCCAGCCAGATGGCCCGAAGTCAGCTTGGCTGGCCAGCCTCTGTGTGCATAGCAGTCTCCTTGTCCTCCAGGGAGAATTCTTCTGCTCAGGGTGGAAAGAAAAGCACTTCCTGCATAGAGTCACCTCCTGGTTATTCCTTGGTGCTAGGTGTGGTGGTGGCGGGTAATCATCTTCGCTGTCTTTCTTCTCCAGAATGGCTTTGACTACCTGTTGACATACAGTGACAATCCCCAGACTGTGTTTCCGCGCTACTGTGTCAGTTGGATGGTTTCCAGTGGTAAGTAGGAACGTGTGTACAGGGCCTAGAACCTGGGCCAAGCATTTTTTTTTTTCAATTTTCTTTTATTTGAGTCTGGTTCTAACTGTGTAGCCTATGCTGGCCTCAAACTCATGGTGATCCTTATGCCTCAGCTTCTTAAGTGCTGGAATTACAGGTGAGCGCCACCACACCTGGCTTCCCCCTTTTCAATGGCAGCAGGAAGATGTGTACTTGACTTAGAGTCCTTCTGAGGAAATTTCTTGTCCTCCACAGTTCACTCTAGCCTCCAGGTGGGACCTGAAAGGACGAGAATTACAGGGTTCCGGAAAGTAGCTTGTACCTAGAGGATGAGGGTTTTGTTGTTGTTGTTTGTTTGTTTCTTTGTTTTTTCTGGTACTGGGGTTTGTATTTAATACCTCGTGCTGTGAGGCAGGCTCAGTGAGTGCTACCAAGCTACATCTCTGGCTAGAGGGAGTTTTAAAAATATTTGCTGCATGGCCTTAAATAGAGAACATGTATAGTAGTGTTTGCAAATTTTTTTCATGGCTGGGTGTGGTGGTGCATGCTTATAATCTCTGGGAATATAAGCAAATGGGAGGCTGAGGCAGGAGGATCTCTAGTTTGAAGCTAACCTGGGCAATTTAGTGATACCCAGTGTTAAAGTACAAAATAAATATAAAAAGGCTGGGAATGTAGCTCGGTGCTGAGGCCCTTGGTTCAATCCCCAATACCACAAAAGAAGAAAAAAAAAATTTCTTCTGTGGTGTTTAAAGCTATAACATTTGGTCTGGAGATGTAATTGTGGGACAGTCCCCAGAGAACAGGCTGCCACCAGTCTTAAGGCTGTATGTGTGTCAGAGCTATAACTACCTTCCCTCCCAGATTTTTGTCTTAGAAAGTATCCTGTGATTTTTCTTTCTTCTAGTTATTTTGTGCAATATCTTATGCTTGAGGGGAATGAAGAGATGATTAGGTATAGTATTTCTATATTGTATTTCTATAATTTAGACATTTGTCTAAATTAAATTGGCAGCTATTTTCACTATGCTACTGATGAGTGGTATTTTCATCACTTTAGGGAGCCATTTGGGATTTAAGTAGCCTGATCACAGTTCCTCTTTTTGAGGGATCAGAGGTTATAGGTGGTTTTTAGAAATTTAAAAAAAACATTTTTTTTTAAATACAGGGCAGTACCTAATGATTACATTCCTCATGCGGAGTTAGTATAAGTACATAACACATCTTCACCCCCCACCCACCACCCCAGTTGTATAACCCATGTGCAGGGGACACATTCTGGGAGGTGGTTGTCAGTTGCGGGTTGTCATTCAAGCTCCTGTCCCTGTGAGGAAGAGCTGCCTGTCTGCCATCAGACAGAGAGGGGGCCTTCAGATTTCGAGAGTCCATTGGTCTGTACAGCAGCCTAACTCCATTTTGGTGTCTGCCAACAGGCATGCCAGACTTCCTGGAGAAGCTGCACACTGCCACTCTGAAGGCCAAGAATATGGAGATCAAAGTGAAGGACTACATCTCGGTGAAGCCTCTGGAAGTGAGCAGTGAGGCCAAGGCCACTGTCCAGTCCTCCGAGCGGAAGAGCGAGGGCAGCTGCAGCCCAGCTCGTATTGAGTATGCCTGAAGGGCTGTAGCATGAGAAAGGACAGGCACTGCCAGCCCTGTCTCAAACCTTTATCACTGCTGCAGCACGGAGACAAGCCACAAGTGTTGGAAAGCATCTGCGGGAATGACCAGTGCAGGACCGTCTCATGACTGGTGTCTGGTGTCATTCAGAGGCCTGCTGCGCTCTGTCAGAGAGAGGACGTCCGTGGAGGCCTAGTCATGTTCTCGGGCTGACCATCCTGAAATGCGATATTTCACTGAGCTCGCCTGGAACGGCCCTCGATTCTCAGGCCACGAGGGGATGCCATTTGCCTCCTCCGAGGAATTTCCTCATGACATTCCAAACTCTGCCATTGGCTTCTGACCTCCTCAGGCTCCGTGGGTCACCTGGGAAGCATGGCTGGTGGTGGCTTCTCATAAGGGGTCACAGGCAGTGCTCTTGGTAACAATCCTGGTGCAAATGAGTGTGAATGATACATGGCCATTCCAAGTGCCTTGTCCTCACCTCGCTTTTATCTTTAGGACACGAAGTTTGTACCAAGACATTTCTCCTGTAAAGTACATCCCGCTGACTGAGTGGGCCCCAAAGTTCCCTCGAACAGCCAGTGGTATTCTTGCACTGTGTACCAGATCATTGCCTCATTCCCAGACTTAGCCCATTTGCCGGGAACACTGGAGCTGCGTCCTCTCAGATGGTGCTTCTGTGTCATCGGTATCAATAGGGCCAGTGGAAATGCTTACAACATCACATTTAAATTCGATTTAGGGCCAGAGATTTAGCTCAGTGGCACTGCGCCTGCCTCGCAAGCGCAAGATCCTAAGTTTGATTCCTGGTACCAAAAAATAAAATAAATCAATTTAATTTTTTAAATATTTGTGTCAAAAAGGAATTGAATGAGATTTTTCCTTAGTCCTGCTGTTCAGAAAAGCTTTGGATCAGGCATTGTTTCCTCCACTTCAGAGTTGATTTGTCCTCTTTAGAAGGCTGGTGGCAGAGGAGTGGGCTGGGCCTCCCTCTGGAAACACTCGCAGAGGGCTCAGAGTGGGTAGGCCACAGTGTGGACAGATAGATGGAATGTTGCCCAGACACTGACAGAGCATGGATATGGCATGTGTGACCCTCTTGTTGCTCTAGAAAGTTTTCCTTTTCAGAGCTGAAATAAAGGCAAGATAAGGTTACACCAGATGGCATTGGCTTGGCCTCACTGGTTTTTCTTGTGGTCATGTTGCAATCTCTTGGGAGAATAGGGATCAAGTTTTGAATCCGCCCTCTTTTCTGGAGTTTAAATGGCTGAGTTTCCCCTTTTTTCTTGCTTGCTACCCTGTTAACGTTGAAAAAGAAATCTAAACCAGAGACTAATTTAAGCCCCTCCTTGACCTCATTGCCTGTTCAGTTTTTTGCCAAGGACTAAATAACTACTCCACTGTTTGTTGCCCTGTCAGAGTGGACAGAGAGCAGACCTGCAGTGAGAAGTCCTCTCCCAGGACCTAGCTGAAGCCTGGAACAGTCCTGTGTTCCATCCGACCTCAGCACCTGTGGTCGTGAGTGGGTGTGCATGTGAGTGGGTGTGTGAGTGTGTGCACAGGTGCTCAGCAATTGGGGTCGCCCCTGTTCTCACTTAGTCATTTGGTTATGTACAGTTATTTCTGTCATTGTAATTTCACTCCTAACTGTGATGTTTTTAACAAATGTGTGAATAAATATATAAAGATTGGTTGGTACAAAAGAGTTTGTCTTTGGACAAATGGGGCAGTCCTACATACCAGGTGTGTGTTTCTTCCTGATCCCAGGTGAAGAGTGTCCTGAGAGTTGGATGGTGAGTTGGCCAGGTTGACACCACCAGCCACCTTATCTAGACTGCAGGCCCTTTCCATGTGCCAGCTTGGCAGCTGACAGTGAGTCTGCTTTGTGTCTTCATCCAAGAGCTCACACATGTCCTTGGTGGGTAGCCTTTGCCTGGGAGATGTACGTTTGTTGTATACTTTTTCCCTTATGAAATTCTCACTATCTTTGTGTGTCACCAGGCAAGCTTTTGAGCGTAGGCACCCAAATCCATTTTTCTGCAACCCTGGAAGTGGTGCGTGATTTTATGTTTGGTGTAACTTAGGAAGTGTCAGCAACAGGGACCATCCTGGGACTGGAGGACTGTACTCAAGAAAGTCCTGAGGCATTCTTGGCCTTGTGTGCTTGTTGTCTCGTAATGTACGTGGCCTTACTATGAAGTTTTCACTTTGAAAATGTCCACATATATTAAAAAGTTGGAGCCTGGTATGGGGCGCATGCCTGTAATGTCAGCACTTGGGAGGCTGAGGCAGGAAGATCCCTGTGAGTTTGAGACCAGCCTGGGCTACATAGTGAGTTCCAGGTCAGTCGACTACATAGTGAGTCCCTGTCTCAAAAAAGAAAAAAAAAAGTTGGAATGATTTTTTAAAACTACCTTGTACCAACCCACCCTACCCTTAACAGGTTGTTAATTTGTGCTTCCTCTTTGCTCTGTGTGTGTGTGTGTGTGTGTTTGTGTGGTACAGGGAATTGAGCTCCAGGCTTTTGCCTTGGGCTATATCCCCAGCCCATTTTATATTTTTGAGACAGGGTCTCCCTAGGTTGCCCAGGCTAGATTTGAATTCGTGATCTTGCCTCAGCCCCCAGGGTGCCAGGGTTATAGGTGTGCACTACCATGTCTGGCTAATCTGTGACCTTTTCATGATCATTTGAATGCTAAGTTGAAAATATGATATTTCACCCCCTCATCATTGAGCGTTGCTCTTTATAAGGACATTACAGTAGCATTAGCACATAAGAGAAAGTATCGTTGTGGTGTCTGATAGATAATACAGTTAACAGTTGTGTGTCATCCAGAAGACCTGTTTGTGGCTACCAAGGATTGAACCCAGGGCTCTTCTACTGAGCTACATCCCAGACCTTTTTATTTTCTAAGATGGAAGTCTTGGGTTGGGCTCAAACTTTTCGATTCTCATGCCTCAGCCTCCTGAGTAGCTGAGTACAGAGGTGTGTACCACCTTGTCCAACCTAAATGATCTTTATAGGCCCCTCCATCCTTGTTCAGTTAATTACTACATGTGCTTATCTGTAGACTTTAAATCTAGAACTCCTCTGCCTGTTGGACCTTCACCTGTGCTTCCTGTGGAATATTGTAGGCTTGGTTACATCTGGGGCCTTGGCAGACTCCCAAAGCCTGAGTCCCTCCTGGACTGGAAACATTTCTGTCTGAGCTAGTTGTACCACCTAAGGTAAACATGTTGCTTGTTGAATGTTGTGATCAGATAGAAATAAAACAGGCTGCACTCTCCTACATGTGCAAGCTCCCTGTTTTACATTGAACTCAGATCGGCCAATAATAGATGTCCTTTCTGAGCACTTGGTGTTCTAGGCTCTGTGCTTCGCACTTTTTGTTTTCTTCAGTTGTTTGAGACAGTCTCGCTATGTATTCCAGGCTGGCCTTGAACTCACTAGCCCAGGCCTGTTTTAGCCTCCCGAATGCTGGAATTACTGGTGTGCACCATTACACTGGCTCTGTGCTTCACATTTTCATTGAATCCTACAGCTCTGTGAGGGTATAGCAGGCCTTGTGTAGGTGAGGAAGTGAAAGCCGAGGTTAAGTAATTTCCTTGCTCAAAGGCACACAGGAAGTGAGGTAAGAGCCAGGATGCTGACATGGCTTTGACCTCTGGAACACCTGCACCTTAGCTTAAAACTGAAGTTAGTTTCTCATGAACACAGGGCTGGGTTCCATCCCCTGTTGCGGGCAACTTGTTTGGAAGCTTGGATCAGTGGCTGACTTGTGTGTCTTACACCTGCTGTGGGGCTGAGTGCTGGAGCCCCCCACCCCCACCCCCGCATCGGCTTCAGGCCTGTTTCTGTGAGGAGCTGAGGTACCAGTGTTGTTTTTCTCCTGAGAATTTCAGGATGTCACACTTGACACATGTTAGAGAAGGGGATGGGAGAGTACACAGGATCATTTCCTAAAAATACCTAATTTCTGTGAGACAGAAGTCTGAAAATTCTTAGAATCACAGTGCTTTTCATAAAATCTGATAGCTATGATTTCTAATAATGCATAAAAGCCTCAAAAATGGAACTGGTATGTGGACGGCAGTGGTCTTAATGTAGTGTGCTGGTCCCCACACTGGAGTATCTCATAACCCTGGGCTACAGTCACCGCCAAGTCGCTTCGGTAACCTCGGCTGACCACGAATAAATGACCTGCATTTACCACCACACTTAAGGAGGGTGAATGTTTGGAAGTAGTGCTATGTGGGTGTTCCACCCCAAGCGTGCAGATGAGGCATCTCTGTGGACCTGCCGCTCCTGCTCCCTTCCTGGGTTTCAACGGGTGGGACCCCAGTGTGCTGTATTTTCAAAGTTCCCAGGGACCCCAATATGCAGCACAGTAGACCTTCGACTTAGGATTGGCCTGGCATATAAATACCTTGGGTTACAAGTGGAATTTTAGTTTAACTTATGACAACTCTTTTTTGAGTTATGACCCGCATACCGGCCACTTGTGCTTCCAGATGGTCTCACATGCAAATTGAACCCTTAAAGGATTCTGGAAGGAACATTGCAACATCTTTTTCTGTGTGGGGTCAATTGAGAAATCCTGGGCCAATGTCTCTCTAAGGACAGAGATCTGCCCATACAGGAGAGTCTTTGAAGGCTGTCAATTGAGCAACTTGAGTTACAACCAGCCTTGAGAAAGAATTGAGTTTGTAAGTCAAGGGTCCACTGTACTTGGGAAGCACTGGGGAAGTGGCTGAAAGGCCAGGCTGCGGACCTGGAGCTGAGAGTGGCCTTGTACAAGGTAGTGGACCTGTGTCTTTCCTCATCTATCTGCCCATACAGGAGAGTCTTTGAAGGCTGTCAATTGAGCAACTTGAGTTACAACCAGCCTTGAGAAAGAATTGAGTTTGTAAGTCAAGGGTCCACTGTACTTGGGAAGCACTGGGGAAGTGGCTGAAAGGCCAGGCTGCGGACCTGGAGCTGAGAGTGGCCTTGTACAAGGTAGTGGACCTGTGTCTTTCCTCATCTGTGAAAGGAGTAAGAATGTCCACCTTGTTGGGTTCCTGTGAGAATTAATATTGCACAGGAGATCTCAAACAGCTCAGATTGGGGCAGTGCCCTGTGCAGTTGAAAACCCACATGTAACTTGACTCCCCCAAAACATTAGCCTGCTGTTGACTAGAAGCCTATGGGTAGCAGAGCTGATGTACACGTGTTTTGTATGTTACGTGTGTTACAGTGAAAACCGTGAAAGAACAAGAGGTCACTTTGTTACTGCAGTACATCACTTCCTAGAGATCCTGCTCACCTAGTGACCAATGTCACCGGGCATTTCAGGCAGATTCAACACTGGGGCCATCCCAGGGGCAACAGGAGGTGGCAGCAGTCACTACAGTGACAGCTGTGATTGGATGCTACATTAGGACCTTTGGTTTGTTGTGTTTCTGTTCACTGAGTGGTGGTGTGTGTGCACTGTGCATGGACATTTTGATACATTTTAACTATAATTTGTGTATGTCTTAGTAAATATGACTATATATATATATATATGTATACACACACACACACATATATATATATATATATTTATTTATTCATGACATTTTTCTTTTTCAGTGTTTCTAAGCCATGAATTTCATCTGAGCTCTTTTCAAATGGTCACATTCCAATACAGAGGCACACAATGCACACACATACACACGAACCCACATTTCAGACCCATGTGCAAGAGTCACGTGTACTTAGACCAATTCCGAGACCTAGCACTCAAGACAGTTGTTAAACTGCCTTGTTTTTTCTTGTTGCTGTTCCTGGAACAGCGTGTCACTGTTCTTCCTCAAATGTGGGCCCCTCTGTCCCCTGAAAGGTGAGAACCAGAAAGGGCACCGTGGTGCTCCCAGGGCCCCTGAGTCCTCCACAGCATGCCATCATGTCTGGTCCCCTCTGGGGACAGCAAGGGGAAGGAAAACGTCCCCTCTATGCACACCATCTCAGTCTACATCTGTTTGATCATCTTTGTGCCCAGTTAAGATTTGAGGTAATTTTGGTGGCAAAAAGAGTAGAAACGGGGACAACAGGCAGATTTTATCAAATGAGAGACAAAAAGTAACTTTCAGTCACTTCAAAAGACTGACAGTTTCAGTTGTAAAAGGTAAAAATGCCACTAGTTTCAGTAAATCGCCTTGAGTGGATATTGTAGAATTTCCCTCGGTACCCACATCAAGCCAGTTGCTTGGATCACACCCTGTCTGTGGGAGCCCTAAGGACCCTTGGCTCCCTGATCTGTGGCAGCCGTCTGTCAGAACTGCGCCCTCCGTGGCCTCCGGGCCGGCAGTTGCACTCTCAGGCCTGTATACTTCTGCCTCATTTCGGGTCTTTTGTGTCCCACTCTTGTTGATGTCTTTTTCTACCCAGTCCTGCTTCTACTTTCTGAACACGAGTCCTGTGCTTCTGTTGCCTGCTCTGACCACTCTCTCTTTCCATCAGAAGATAGGGAAGTGGCAAGTATGTGGAAGCTTTGGGACAAAGGGTGCATGCTGAGGTGACTGCAGCATAGCTGGGCCTGAGCAGGCTGTGTCCCAGGCCCTGACCTTCAGTCTTCTGGGCTCAGAAACCCAACATGGCAGAGACCAGCCTTGATGGGACTCAGGGCCTCGCCATTTATGGCACAAATGCTTTAAGAAGCGGGCCTGCAGCGTGAGTCAGGCCTTGAT